GCCTACCCCAACTTGTTTGGGACTTAAAGGCTTTGTTGTTGTTGTTGTTGTTGTAGTGGCTTATTTTCTGAACGAAAGTATTAATGAACTTCACATAGTAGCTATTTTCCTAATTTGGGATAACTCTCATAGAGGAAGGCTGGAGAAGGGATGCAAAGTTCTTTTAAAATAAGTGAAGTGCTTTTTCTGTAATGCTCTCTACATAGGGAAAAGTGTAGAGGTGAAATGGAATGGATAAAACATATTTCTTCTTATTGTTTCCTCTGTAACATTCTTAATGTTCATCATCCATATTACTTTGTAGTTTTGTACACATGAGAATTGTTATGTTTGACTATTTTCAGCCCATCTGATTTAATCCGTATTGCTTTACTTCACTATATTTCGATCACGATGTTATTTCCACTTCGATAACCTTACTGAAAACACTTTTTTATATACGTATTCACATTAATTCACTAGACATAGCCTTGTACTTCTTCTTATAAAAACTATAAGTCCATATAGGTTTGCCCTAAGTCAAACTTTTAAACTTTGACCATCAGTATCTAAATTTTAATACGGATTGGCAATACAAGATTAGCGTTACTAGATTCATTAATGAAAGAAATACTTTTATGATATATAACTCTTTTCGTTTAAGGTAATATATATTTATTGATATTAGCAGTCAAATTTAAAAAGGCTTGACTTAGGATAAATTTAGATGGACTTACATTTGTGATCAGAAGTACATACACTATGCATATTTATATTTCAGACATATTTACCTCGGTTAAGAATATAAATAGTGGTTTTTAACACGTGCATGACTATTTTTCTAATTTTGGTCATTATTATGTACAAACTTTCAGAATTGAATATGTGAAAATCATGGTCACATTTTTCGCGAAATGTATTTTGCTAAATATAATATTTTTAGTTTCTTTCTTATACAATTCTACGTGATGATCAAAGTAAAATAATGGAGACCATGTCAATGTCGAAAACAATAAATTCGATTAGAACTCTTTGTTTCATACTTGGACTGCATTATCACATTATTAAGGGCCATGTTCCCATAATTCATATTAATGCTATCATATTACAATGTACCTCTCTCTGGACTTCAGAGTATTTAACTATCACCCTCACCAGTTTTGATGCAATGATAAACAGATGGAACTAATTTGAACTGAGTAATGATACAAAACATGAACTTGGGAAGAAAGATTATGTGTCTCATGTCATATGAGATCTTGGTCTGATTCTGGATTGTTCATATGCTTCATTGCCAACTTTTTCTTTTTTCCTTCATGATATCTGGGAATAATATAATTGAAGCAATCTTAAATTTCAATGTTTAATTGTACAGTCAAGTTGATGCCAAAACTTACAAAGTTGATCAATCATTCAATCATCATCATAAATGATCCTGTTTTTTATTAGTCTCATGATAAACACTACTTAATTTGTACAAGGGACACATGTGCTAGAAGCCTAGTGATGAGCACTGCTAGTGATAATGCTAAAGCTCCCTCTGTTGTTAGATTATTGCTGACCTCATATTCATCTAAGCGAGAGGAAAATGGAGACGCAGGCATGTAAATTGAAATATTTTTTATTAGGTGAACACATGGTCATGTTAACAGTGCAATGGTAGAGCACCCAGATTAAAGTGTTTACACTGAAGGCAGTTTCAGCATGCTTCGTGGCTGTTACTGGCCACACCAGTCTGGTGGGCCCCTCCTTAAGAGCTATGTCAGGGGAATGTCTCTCCCTCTGATCAAGTTTTTTTTTATTGCTTGAAAACACTACGGGTATGAAGCTTATGAGAGCACACCAATTTGCATTTTAGATGAATTTACAGATAAATATCCATTCTCCAAGCACATGTTTCATCTACAGAAGTTTTTGCTTATTTGATCTATTTATAAACTTTTGTTTAGCATTGATGATAATTTCTTTTCCATTTATTACAACTTCTGGTGGTTGTCTTGTCTGAGCCTAGTACATGTTGTTAGGTGGAAAAGGATGATACATTGACCAAGAAGCACTGCCTCCAGGGTCACCAAAAACCAATTTCGTTTGTTGCCTGGAGCCCAAATGACAGAATGCTGCTCACTTGTGGTACTGGTGAATCTTTAAAACTGTGGAATGTTGATACTGGTGAATGTAACCTTAAATTCAGAGGCTCAGTAGACTACATCATCAGTTCATGTGCATGGTTTCCTAATTCGGAGAAAATAGTATGTGCCAGCTCCGAGCCTGCAAGTTCTCCAAATAGGATCTTCACTTGTGATCTAGAAGGTCAAGAGCTGGAAGTATGGGCCGGAGATAGAATACCAAAAGTCAGTGATCTTGCTGTGACACCTGATGGCCGACACCTAATCTTTGTATCTTGCAACGATATCTGGATTAGAGAACTTCCAAAGGGGCGGGAATGGAGATTTCGTGAGAAGCAGACGATTTCATCTGTTTTTCTCTCAGGTGATGGACAATCACTCGTTGTGAACCTTAGCAGTCAGGAGATTCATTTGTGGAAAATTAATGAAAGTTGTACTGTGCCTGAAAAGTTCAAGGGGCACAAGCAAGACAAGTTTGTGATTAGGTCTTGCTTTGGTGGTTCAAACTCTTTGTTCATTGCTAGTGGCAGTGAGGATTCACAGGTACAATTTTTTGCTGAACTTCAATCTTGATTTTGAAGAAAATATGAGCCAGTTCTGGCTTCTGTCCTAATTTATTGCTTAAATTCCATGGTCAGCAATGCATATGGAATATAACACCTCCTCACATATGTGATATATGTGTTAAAAATGGTGGATTAAAGCAGCACCATGTGTCGGGGTTTAATGTGCATGATGCTAGCAATGGTAGGTAGGTTAACTAATGATGTCTATAACATCTTTGATATAACAAAAATCCATGATATGAAATTCCATGCATATATATGAATAACATCTAAAGTTCCACTAGTCTACTCACAAAGGCTTTGAACTTTGGGTTTGGACTTGCTAAATGCTAATTCAGCATTGTGGTTGGTAACTAGTAACTTTTTGTGTGTGCGCTTGCTTGCTTTTGTAAAGCTATGTTTTACATTAGTTGTCATGTGTCACTGTACAAAGGTAGCCTAGTGGAAAGAAATGGAACAACATTTTTTATAGATAAGTATATTTTAGGTATAGTATACCTAAAATATACTTATCTATAAAAAAAAAGGCTTTGTTGTTGTTGTTGTTGTATATTTTAGGTATAGTATATACACAAAATCAAGCTAAGAACACTGAATACGAAATAAATTGATTGATTGGTAGTAAACTATTAATTTAATTATAGGAAGATAGGATAACCTATGGATTGTTGCTCTTGTTTACCATTTACTAACCTTTAAAAACAATGAGCAGGTCTACATTTGGAAAAGGCACGTGGAGATGCCAATAAAGGTTTTGCATGGCCACACGATGATTGTGAACTGTGTAAGCTGGAATCCTGCAAGGCCCCATATGCTGGCTTCTGCTAGTGATGACCGCACGGTTCGAATATGGGTAGCGCGCAAAATGCAAAGTAAATGTTGTTGAAGTGTGAAATTTTGTATGTTTGTGTAAATAGTTGTACATCTGGACTGCATCCGCAAATCCGTTGGGATCATGTTCTGATGTTCTCCCCTAAATAGGTCGTAGCTACTTCAGAAATAAACCTCCAACAGCCAGAGGTAGCCGGTGCTGTGTTCCAGATGTATGCCTGGCTAACCGGTGAGTTTTGACATGTGTACAGGACAAAGATGCATCAGAACTTTGTACATTTTGTTAGTTGATATATGCCTTTGACACTCATTGAAAGTGCTGAAATATGCCTTCTGTTGCTGTGGATCTAGTGTTCGTGCGCTTATCTTTTTCGCTGGGTAACCTGGGTTCATGTGTTATCATGCTTTTTGTTTAGAAATGCCCCAGAGCCCAGAACTTCTTTCTGAAGTCCTTTTCAGGTGACTTTCTGAAGGCTTTTGCATGAGAGATGGAAGTCAGTGGCAAAGGTATGTATTCTCCCAAAATAACAGAGAAACTTGGAAGCAACCTGCACGAGTCCACTCTCCACTGCAACCTTTAGCATGGTCACCAAATATGTATGAGATTTGTAACAGTAATATAAGTGTTGATGCTGATTAAGGCCACACGCTAATAACGGTTGACATGTCCGAGGCCGCACACGACCTAACAGCAGCGGAGAGGGGTCCAAACAGCAAGACCGACTAGCAAGTCTGCCATCGATGCAGACACGTTCTTCGCTCAAAAAACCAGCAAACACATCCTAGGAAGATCTGTCAGGGAGGAGCAGGTTATCCTAGGATATGCGAGATCATCGAGAATTCCAACGAGTTTGATTGAGAGAGGTGCTAGGCGCTGAACAACAGAGTTATAAGAGATAAAAGTGAGGAAAAGTAGTAGTATAATTATTTTTGATCGACTGTGTGTGTTTAACTTCAATTGGCCATGATCCTCTATATACAGAGAGACGGTTTTATCTCAGAAGAAACCTTCCCAAATGGTGATCGAGTTTGGATTGATTTGAACCCGGACAGACAAACTGGCCTAGACAAACTAACCAGCGTCGGATGAGCAGCCGTAGTCGTACGCGCATAACGTCATCCATCCATTCAGAGTTCGGTGCAGATGCTAGAAGTTATATATTTATTTTAAAAAGGAAACTACATTAACGATGAACCAATTCAGGACCAATGAACTAGTCAAACAAGAGCAGGATTGGAAAATTTTGCAGCTGACCAGCTATTCTAACCCAACCTGCAGCAATCCGTGACTTGCCAGGTTCTACGCGGTGCCTACGTGGACGCGGCACCAACACGGAGAACACATCGCCCGATCACTGTCGACTGTGTCGCTGTCAACTTCGTAACAAGTACTGTAACAACGTACACACAAAAGTCTGAATTTTTTTTTTCATCTTTTTCTAAAGTAGCAGCAGCATCACGGTCACGGCGATGGAGAGCAGCCCGTGCTCCAACTACCATGGCGACATGCGCCGCACCCGCACCCGCACCCGCAGCAGCGGCGGCGGCGGGAGCGGGCACGCGGTCTTCCCGCCGCAGTGCTCCCACCAGGACCAGTCCCATTCCCGCTGCGTCTCCGGGTCCGGTATCGTGCCAGCTCTGCAGCGCCCGGTGGCCCGAGTTGCCGTCCCTCCGCTCTACGAACCCGTCGCCGCCATCGCCCGTGCCGTCATCCCAGCCGTTCTTCCGGCCCCTGGAGCCGCGCGTGTTCGACGACGACGACCCAGTGGACCGGACGCCACGGGCGCTTCGTGATGATCAGCACCGCGGTGCAAGCGCGGACGGAGGAGCGGTTGCGCTCACTACGCACTGCGAGTGCTCGGCTCTCGCGAGGGACGCGTCAACCGATGACTTCGCCGTGCTCGTGCACGCCAGGGCACCGGGGATGGCCGGGGCTGTAGGCGCGGCGGCGCCGGCGCGCGCGCCGCAGGACCTGGTGACCGTGCTCGACGTCAGCGGTAGCATGGTGGGGACCAAGCTAGAGCTGCTCAAGCAGGCCATGGGGTTCGTCATCGACAACCTCGAGCCCCGGGACCGCCTCTGCGTCGTGTCCTTCTCCTCCGGCGCGAACCGGCTCATGCGGCTCGCGCGCATGTCGGACGCCGGGAAAAACCTGGCGAGGCGCGCAGTGCAGTCGCTCGCCGCGGGCGGCGGCACCAACATCGGCGAGGCGCTCCGCAGGGCCGCCAAGGTGTTCGACGAGAGAATGCACCGGAACACCGTCGCCAGCGTCGTGCTCCTCTCCGACGGGCAGGACACGTACACCGTGCCGAGGCGCGGGCGCTACGGCGGCCGCGACGCCAACTACGACGCGCTCGTGCCGCCTTCCTTCGCCTACACCGGCGCTGGCGGCCGGTACGCGCCGGTCCACACCTTCGGCTTCGGGACGGACCACGACGCGGCGGCGATGCACACCATCGCCGAGGCCACGGGCGGGACTTTCTCCTTCATCGAGGACGAAGCCATGCAGGACGCGTTCGCGCAGTGCATCGGCGGGCTCCTCTCGGTCACCGTACAGGAGCTGCGCCTCGACATCGCGTGCGTGCACCCGGGCGTGCGCCTCCGCGCGGTCAAGTCCGGCAGCTACGGAAGCCACATCGACGCGGACGGCCGCTCCGCGTCCGTCGACGTCGGCGAGCTCTATGCGGACGAGGAGAGGCGCTTCTTGCTCTTCCTGCACGTGCCGAGGGCCCGACCCGCGGACGACGACGACGACGACACGCACCTTGTCAGAGTGGCCTGCGCTTATCGTGACACGGCGACTGGACGGGGCAAGAACGTTGCAGGCGAGGAGGACGCGAAAGTGCGGAGGCCCTGGGGCCCGGTGACCTCGGAGCGCTCCGTGGAGGTCGAGCGCGAGCGTGTCCGGGTTGAGGCGACGGACGGCATCGCGGCGGCCCGTGCGGCGGCGGAGCGTGGCGTGTTAGATTGATCTCTGCCGAGTTGGCCCAACGGACAACTTGGCCCTTTAATCCGCGTCCGGATCGGGGGCGCTCAATCGTTTTATGGTTGGTGGGTTCCTGTCGCGCAGCGCTATAAAGAGGAAGGTGGGGGCCGGGGCGTAGGATACGAGGTTGACCGCAGCCGCCAGTTCACCACTGACATCCTAACCCTAGTCCGATCGAGAGGGCGCACTGTGAGCGATGGGAAACGCTACCGCCTTCGCCGCCGCCACTGGACCACGCCTCCACTGCGCCTTCGACACCGCCGTTGGACTCCACTACTGCCCTACACCAACATCCGCGTCATCAACACCGACGCCATGGCCAGCTCCTCCGCCAAGGCTGTTGATGGTTGGTAACACCTCCTCACTATCATAATTTCTCTCTATCTCTCTAGGTTTTAGTTCATGTTCTAGGGTTTACTCTATCCTATATGTAAGTTTGTACCCGCTAGATCTACTGCTAGTCGGTTTTAAGTTTTATCAATTGTATCAGATCGCCTACTTAGTGTGTAGATCCAGATTGGGGTAGAAAACTGAAAAGAAATAAGGAGATGAAAGATTTTGAATTTTCTCAAACCCTAACCCTAACCCTAGAAGAAAGGTCGGCGAGGGGAGGGACCTACCCAGGTTTCCCTCACCACCGGTGCTACCGCCATCGTGCGGGAAGACCGTCGCATTAGAAGAGAGCCGTCGGCTCGCCAGCGCTCTGCAGCGCCGCGTACACGTGCGCAGGTCGCAAAGGGCACCACCGCGGTGCTAATCGATGGCGTCGCGCGCAGCTCCGGCCACACGCGTGCGCCGACGAAGGGCGCCACGGCGGCACCGCCACCTCCTGCATCGCGTCCGCTCTTGAGACCTCGGGTGCGGCGGTTGTGGTGTGCCGCGAAGAGAGAGAAAGGGGACTGACGAAATAGACCTAGGGTTTGGGAGACGGCGGCCGCGAGCGGTTTTGATCTCGCGAAATCAACGCCCGGGCGTTGGATGGTGATGAACGGCTGAGATCGCTTGGGCTCAATTCAGCCCTGGCGGGATTGGCAAATCCCGGCCCAAGCCTAGGTTGCGGCCTGGGGGCGGGGGAGACGTCGACCCGCGTGCGCAAGCGCTACTGGGCCGCGCGCAAAACTACTGGGCCATGAAGAGTAGAGACGCGCGCGAGCGCCTGCTGGGCCGGGCTAAATGTACAGTAAATTCCCTGTTTTAAGTTTTATTATTTTTCAGAAGCAGTTTTGATGAACTTTGTCAAGTTTTGATGTTAAATCTCTGTCAAAATTTGAATCAACGGGATACTTTTTTCAGAGAATAGATAAGTACAGTAAAATGCTTGTGAAAAGTAGATAAATTATTTTTTCATGTTTCCGCTGCAAAGTAGATGTTTATTATCTTCTAATTAAATTCGAACCAACAGGAGGATTTAATTTGAAGAGCAAGTTAATTTTATTCAGTAAATTATGATATTGTTATTTTTCTAACAACGTTGATAATAGCAATATTATAATTTTGTATTTATGAGTTTTTCCATGCATTAATTCTATTTTTGCCCAATGGTGATGTAGAATTAATGTAGAATAATGTTGTATGTTTTAATTTTGACCAACGTTAAATTAAGACATGCAATTATTATGTCACATTTTCTCACTATCTCTGGCGCTGTTTTCAGGACTCAACCCTATGGCATTCATCTCGCACATGCCGCCTCTTGAAGGGGGCAACTATCATGTATGGTGAGAGAAGTATGAATTAGCACTTGTGCTGTCCGAAAATGACCTAGCGCTTACCTCTCCGTGTCCTACGGAGCCAGTGGACCCAGTGAGAGAAGAAAATGAAACTGATACTGATTTCACTGCTCGGCAGCGAGATCATGCAGAAGTGAGAATGAAATACGATCTTGATCGTAAGAAATGAGACATTTCGAACCGCAAGTGCTTGATGGTGGCTAAGTCCACTATTTCAGATGCAATAAGGGGGTCAATCCTAGATTATGACACCGTCACTGAGTATCTCAAGAAAGTGAAGAGTCAGTTTATTGGCTCTTCAAAGGCTTATGCTAGTACCCTGATAAAGAAGTTATTCAATAAGAAATACTCTGGTGGAGGGATAAGAGAACACATATTGAAGATGAGCAACACGACTTCCAAGCTCAAGCCAATAGATTTAGGGCTCAAGGATGAGTTCCTGATTTATTTGGTTTTTGCTTCATTGCCTAAAGAGTATGAGACTTTTGTTGTTAATTACAACATACAGCTCGACAAATGGGACATTGAGAAGCTTATTGCAATGTGTGTGTAAGAAGAGGAGAGGCTTAAAAGCTCACATGGTGACTCTGCTAACCATGTGAAGAATAATAAAAAGAAGAATTTTAACAAGAATGCTAAACCTTAAGGGAAAGCTCCTCAGAATGACCACCATCAGAAGAACAACAATGCCTAAGTTGACAAGGATCAATGCAAATGGTGCAGGAAGTCTGGACATTACCAGAGGGACTGTCCAGATTTCCTAAAGAGCCTTTTGAAGAGAGGTGAGGACTTTATTACATTCATAGATGAGTCCTTGTATTTAAGTTATGCAAAATCTACTTGGTGGATTGATTCAGGTGCAACTATTCATGTTGCAAATTTATTACAGGGATTCCATACGTGGAGGACCCTACAAAGAGGAGAATGAAGAATTAAAGTAGCAAATAGAGTTGAAGCTGAAGTTGAAGCCATTGGAGATCTCTCTCTAGAATTAGATGATGGTTTTATACTTCAGCTTTCAGATATCCTTTATGTACTCTGTTTGCATATAAATTTGATTAGTGTTTCATGTCTAGACGATGATAGATATGATTGCCATTTTGGTAATGGCAAATGTCAGATTGTGTTTGATAATAAGTGTGCTGGTCTTGCCTTCAGATATGACAAACTTTATTTGTTATCACTTTCTGAAAATATGAATGTTGTGAGCACTAAGAATGAGAATGCTTCCTCATCTATAAATGTAAGAAATAAGCGAAAGAGAGTTCATGACATATCATCGAAATTATGGCACTATCGTTTAGGCCATATTTCGAGGGGGGAATAGAGTGATTGATTAAGAAATCAATTCTTCTTCCATTAGAATTTCTAGATTTAGAAAAAATGCATTGATTGCATAAAAGGAAAGTATATTAAGAAAATAAAAAAGATGTCAAACGAAGCGTAGGAATTTTAGAAATAATCCACACAGACATCTGTGGTCCTTTTCCTGTGAAGAGTGTGGATGGTTATGATTCATTTATAACATTCACAGATGATTATTTTCGTTATGGCTATATTTATCTAATTAAAAAAAGACTAGAAGCATTGGATAAATTTAAGATATTTATGGCTGAAGTAGAAAATTAGCATAATTTAAAGATTAAGATAGTAAGATCCGATCATGGGGGAGACTACTACGGTCGACACACCCCATATGGCCAAGTTCCTGGACCTTTTGTAAGGTTCTTATAGGAAAATGGCATAGTTACCCAGTACTCTACACCGGGCGAGCCTCAACAGAATAGAGTAGCTGAAAGATGCAACCGTACCTTAATGGATATGGTGAGAAATGTGATAAGTTACTCTACTCTACCGATAAGTTTATGGATGGAGGCGTTAAAAACCGCCATTCATATTCTTAATCGAGTTCCAAGCAAGTCGGTGCCCAAAACACCATATGAGTTGTGGATAGGGAAGAAACCCTCACTTAACTATTTATGTGTGTGGGGTTGTCCAGCTGAGGCTAAAGTCTTTAACCCAAACATAGGGAGGCTAGACTCCAAGACAGTCTGTTGCCATTTCATTGGCTATCTAGAAAAGTCAAAAAGTTATCGCTTCTATTGTCCTGATAGACATATGAAGTTTGTAGAAATAAGACATGCTGTGTTCTTGGAGGATGATATGATCAAGGGGAGCATGGTAGCGTGAGAAATTAATTTTGAAGAGAAGCAGGTATACGTGCCCACTCCGATGATTCAGGAGCTATTCTTCACGCTAACTGTTGTTGTTGTACCAATAGTACAAGACACTGTAGTAACATCACCTGTTGTTAGTTCTCCTGTGGCAACAATGGATGAACATGAGGAACCTGTCGTTCAGGATCCTATAGAACCCGTTATCACACATGAGGAAGAGCAACAACAACCTCATATAGAACAAGCGTCAACTAACGAGGCCCCTAGAAGGTCTCAAAGAGTCAGGAAACTAGCCATTTTTTTTGTAGCTGGGCGCATGCATCAGAGGTAGACGCAAGTTTTTTTTCCTCTCAAATTTGCTTCGCCGCTTTTTTTCTAGGGGCAAAAACGTCTTTTTAACAGCCAGTTAACACCGTTAGCTAACGGATTTGACGGTAGTGTCAAATTAGGGATGAAAGTTGAAGTGAGTGTCAAATAGGGAATGAAGAAAATTTCAGGGCCAAGAAAGAAACGACTCATTTTCCCTGTGTCAAATAAGGAATTCTCTCCAAAATATTTACTCACACATAATGAAATGTTCTCGGTAAAAAAATGCACAATGAATATCATCTTCAAATATTACAAAACAAGAATGCAAAAAATGCACATTTCAAATAGTGCAAATACTACATATTGTTATTGCAATTATACTGTATATGTATATAAATACATAATCCACCTCAATAAATCACTAGGTAACTAAATAGCTTGGACGACATCTACACCACTAATCCAACCTGCTTATCAATGTGGGCCCTAAGAATGATCACATCACCAATGAAAAGACCATAGTTTAATCAGTACAAATCAATAAGTCGTGAGGATTCCCTTAGTACTAATGGAAAATTAGTAGGGAAAGTGCTGAGCTTACATGGAGTACTAAATGGCCTCTCGAGCTGTGGTCGTAGGCAAGAATGCATCGACCACAACCTCTTTGTTCTCATTTTTGTTGTCTAGGATATATCGCTAAGGAAGCTTATACCTGTAGATATGATTGTCCCAAATATAATTGAGCATGTGTAGTAAGACGACAGTAGATGAATTAAGCAGGATACAGTCTTCAAAAAAGCGCTTGATCACTTGTAGGTGGTGAGGAGACAGCTCACTGGTATAGTTGTAGTGACGGTATTCAGGATCATCAGCAGTCTGCTATTATCTTGTCATCTTTTTCACCCTGACAACGCCCAACAGATACCCATAGTTAGAAACGAAATAAAAGCAGGGTTGTTCTTTTCCCTCTACCTCAAATAGTGTCTAACGTGACATACCTGGTCAATCATGGGCATAAGGCCAATTGCTCTTCCTTGGAGAGGAACGAACCAGGAATAACAGGCTCCTGCATGAGATAAATCATCACAAGGTCATGACACTCCTCATATGATATCACAAAATTCGTTCACAAATAACTGCAATTGACTCAACTATAGAGCAACTAGTCAGTCTAACTGTCTAAGAATGTGTCTACAAGAGAACTAATGTTAGCTATCCTTGAACAAAAACAAGGACCTTATAATCCAAAGAGTGAATACTCTACATTCTTCACAAATGCCCCCCACAAGACAAAGACAAGTGGAAGAAGGAAGACGACCAACACTTTCATTGGGTCATTGTCTTCACAAAGAGTCCTCGGAATGAAACCATAATTGTGAGGGTATACAACTGATGAGTACAGGACTCGATCAACCTACCAAATTATAGCACATGTCAGAAAGAAAGAAAAATAAATTAAACTATTACATTTCATCAGTGCAGGACTCAATCATCCTGTACTAGCAAATTTCTAAAATGTGTCGGGACAAATCACAACTAACAATTTTTTTTCTATAGGAAGATAAATATCTAGAAATCTAGCAGATCTATGACAAGCACTGAAGATAAATGTCTGAAATCTCTAACAACCTCCTACTAAGAATTAGTTAAATTATTATTGAGGGATGTAGCCTGAAATCTCTGAAACATGGTAGTAAACTATATGTAAAGCGCAGGTTAGCTTTGCATACGGCTACAGAACTTAAATGACACAGCAACAGCAATACTGAAGGACACTTCTGCCTCTGCTATCAACTTTGAAGAGCTAAATACTGAGCATTGCCATGCAACTGCAGCTTCAGTAATGAAAGGGAGAAATGATTTGCCTCTGGCTATTAGAAAAGTACTAGTATTATTACTAATTTAACTATGATGTGGGCTAGCACAAATCACAATAAACAAAGAAAAAGTTGTGGCCCAGTAAGACATTACACAATTGTAGAAAATGTGGAAAACAGACAAACTATGAATCCCAAACCACTCAGTTCAACTATACCATGTACAACCCACTACACAAAACCCAGATCAAAAAAGTTGGAAGGATTCTCGTGGAAGAATGATTTCCTTACTAATAGTCAACCCCTAAAAGTAAAAAGAGACATATTGCATATCCTCAACACTAAAATTGCAGTTCTCAATAATTGCAATTTACATCATTGCTGGTTGTAATTATTAAGTAACTGAATGTTTTATTTGTTTTTTCGTGAATAGAACAGATTAATAGGAACAGAGCACTGCAACTATTATGGACAAGAACAATAAACGCCACTAATCCATTAGTGGATAGGTCTGAGGAGATACTATATGTTCAGAGCATCTATAGCAGTCTATTCACATGCCCGGGAGCTTGCAGCAGCAGTAGCAGAGCGCGGCCAAGCTACAGATCGGACGCACTGACAGAGAAGATTTTAGGATTTTGAGTAAATCAACACAAAAAAAAAACAATGCATACAAGTGGGTAGAAGTTTACTGGAATTCTGTCAAGGTACTTCTCTCTGATCCGGTTAGCTGCAGACTGCCTCTTCTCTGTAACAAAAGGTCTGACAGATCAACGGGTCAGTTATGTAATATGTTAACAAATTTCAAGATGTGTTAGCACAAATCATAAGAGACAAATTTTTTTCTATGAAAGAACAAGGACAAATGGTGTGTTGGCACAAATCACAATTAACAAAGTTCAAGATGTGTTAGCACAAATCACAAGAGACAATTTTTTCTATGAAAGGACAAGGGCAAATAAGAGGTGTGTGTTGGCACAAATCATAATTAACAAAGTTTAAGATGTGTTAGCACAAATCATAAGAGGACAATTTTTTTATGAAATGACAAGGACAAATAAGAGGTGTGTGTTGGCACAAATCACAATTAACAAAGTTCAAGATGTGTAAGCACAAATCACAAGAGATAATTTTTTCTATGAAAGGACAAGGACAAATAACAGATGTGTGCTAGCACAAATCACAATCAACAGAATTCAAGATGTGTTAGCACAAATCACAAGTGACAATTTTTTTCTATGAAAGGATAAGGACAAATAAGACGTGTGTGCTAGCACATATAAGCCATACAAGCAAGTAGATGAAATCCTTGCAAGAAAAGGCACCTATTTTTATATTTCAGAGTAAACAACACAAAAGAAATAATGCAACCACTCTGTGTGCCCCACTGCTTATGACACAGGAAAAAAATGAAAATACACTAAACTCGGAATCCTTTTTAGACAATATTACAGTAGCCTAAAAATTATCATAGGATGCAAATGCATGTTGGGAGGCAACATCTTTGATATCCTTCAACATGTCTGTAGCCATACCAGCAGGTTAGTAGTAAAAAACATGTACTGGTCAATACATAGAAGCAACAGCTAAAGCATATTAAGGATGAAATGAACATATAAAGAAGTTAAATTTCAAGTTCAGCTCGACATACTTGACCAATGAACCAATTAAGCAAAGCTATCATTCAATTAATAAGTAAATTTAGATTTTCCTATTCTAGATTCCCACAATGTGTGAACTAGTTTGATAGATCAGATAGCATCACACCAGTTTTCTCAAAGAGTGTGTTGCATAGAGAACGTACCTTCTACTTGAGACAACAACAAAGGACTACCTCTTCTGTTGTTGGACGGTCCTTTGGATCAAACGCTAATAGCTTTTCTAATAGTTTAAGTCCCAAATGATCTGCACTAGGAAACTTCTGAGAAAATGGAATAGGGTCCTTTTTTTCTCATGCTGCTCAAGTACCTTCTTGCTTTCTCATTCCGAACCTAAAAATGAATAAAAAACAAGTTTAACTTTGGGGTCACTGAGCCATGAGACGAAATAAAAATAGAGTTTCCTTGGTTATAGCACTATACCCGAGAAATTTTATGTTGTGGTACAGTCATCTCTTCAACTATAGATCAAATAAACCTTTGAACAAGCAATAACCTGCAGATGCTATTCCTAACATATGATATGTGTAGTAGTCTGTATAATTCATCACATCATTCTACATAAGACAGACTACAGAAAATGCAAAACCAGCACTCCAGCAACCACTTAGATCAGCTAGCAAAAAAGACAAAGCGACGAGGCAAATGGTTCAACACAAGCATATTGCATATGCTCAGAACTACAATTGTGGTGCCCGATATTTGCAATTTATATTATTGCTGATTGCAATTATGTAACAAGATCTTTTATTTGTTTGGTCACTTTCAACAAGTATGTAGTAAAAAATAGGATCACATAGTTTAGTGGTATAGCAAGGAGCGGTACTGTAGTTTATAGAACAAAACATATTTCAGATCACAAGAGAAAGTAGAGGCCCTCATAAGATTTGAGTTGTCAAATAATTTTATGCAAGCATCAACTCTTAGTTGTTTAGAGTATTCTTTCGCAGCCTACAGATGTGCAGCAGGTTTGAAAAAAGATATAAAGCTGTTTTGGAACAGGGGGGCATTAGGGTGGAATAAAAATGTTTACGGGAACGGAGATTTCCAAATGTAGGAGATTTTTTAAAACAACAATTACTTTGTTAAATTTAGAATGTTGCTGACAACAATACTGACTACAGAATGCAAATGACAAAACCTGCAATACGCTCGAGTGACAACTACTGAATGGATGCAAGTAGTTGCTATCAATCAGAATATTATTTATATCTGCTTCAGCTATATGGTCAAATATAAAACACTGACTTTGCCTTCAATATTATCATACATGATTACATTATAAACATGTGGATAGATTTTTCTTCTTCAAACATAGAGAATGACAAAGAAGGCAGTGAAATAATGGCAAAACTATTTCACTTTTTATTGAGACTAGAATGCTCCAATCTGGCGCCCTCCCATTAATCAGAAACAATACTATTCAATTATATGCAGATAATATCCTAACTTTCATAAAGAACAAGTAAGGAACTGTTATGCCCATCATTCCCTTCTAGAGAAGTAAAAGGTGATCATAGATGAAGTTATGGAACATTTGACTAGTGCCCCGAGATATCAAAATGAGTTATTAAAAATAGAATAAAAGAGGACACATGTTCCTAGACAGTGGTTAGCTTATCACATTCTAGTTCTAGAACTTAATCCCAGTAGTAATGGACAATTTTCTAAAATAAGGAATAGTAACTATCCTAAAGATACAGTGACTGGTTTAATTGCTAGTAAAGATCTAACAACTTACAACAATGGGGTGATTTAAAAGAACAACTACAAGTATTTGTGTGGTCCTAAAAGCTTTATAACCAAAATAACGCTAAATAATTAAATTAACTAGATTCAAGACAAGATGCCATACTAGAGCAGAGCCAAAATTACAACAACACCGATAAATCAAATGGGGCGATTTAATATGAATTAGAAAAACATAAGCAAGTAGTAGTATAATCCCACAATCTTTCTAACCAAATAATGCTGAATAATGAAAGTAGTTAGATTCAGGAAGCCATACTAGACCAGTACCAAAATTACAACCTAGCAATACATCAATGTGTGACATCCATAGTTTTAAAGGCGGTTAGGCGTCTAGGCGAGTGCTTGGTACGCCTGGACGCCTAGGTGGCGCCTAGGCCACAAGGCGCCACTGTTTCCAAGGCGAGCTGGGTACGCCTGGACGCCTAGGCGTCGCCTTGAAAACTATGGTGACATCAGGCCCATAGTAATGCAAATAACAGGCAAAAATCACTTTATCCCTTGCTACTACAAATCCTT